GATTTAATGAAATTTGGGGGTCCAATTTGTAATCAAAAACCATTGAAATTATTGAAGATTTTCTCGTTGGATATCAAACCATTCAGTTCAATTTCGTCGAAAATCTGCAAACATTTCAATGGTTTTTGATTTATTTTGTATCCATTTATCATTATACTATAAGTAATAATATTTTTATTTCGAATTAATCGAAAAATATGTTCAGCATTCTCCACATCGCCAAATTTCATTAACATTCCTGTAGCTGAAGCTAATAGAACATCATCATACTGATCACCATTGGCAAGAATCTGTTTAAGAAGATTTTTTCCAGTTTTTTTGGCTCGATCATTTGCAAGCTGAGCACAAGTGTTAAATACAATCGTATAAGTTACATCGTTTGATTCAGAACTCATCTGTTCATATAAATCTAAAGCTTTTTCATGTTCTTCATTTTTCATATATCCTAAATTCAATTGAATAAAGTTAAAAGTTAAATTGAATAAATAAAATTACCTTTTATCATTGCACTAAAACTATAAGTATCTTTTTCTTTGATCAAATAAAAAATACGTTCAGCTTCATTAACATCTCCAAATTTCATCAACATTCGTATCGCTGAATTAAGTACAAGGTTGTCATATTGACCATTATCGAGAATCATTTTAAGAAGTTTTTTTCCAGCAGCTTTTGATCGATCATGTGAAAGTTCAGCACAAGTGTTAAACACAATCGTATGAATGATATTATTTCCTTTGAAATTCATCTTTTCATATAAATCCAAGACTTTTTCATACTCTTGATTTTCTTGATATCCTAAAATTGACTTAATGAAAAAAAAAATAAAAAAAGATCAACAAAATAATAAACTACCTTTTATCATTGCACCAAAACCATAAATATCTTTTTTTTCCATCATATCAAAAACAACTTCAGCATATTTAACATCGCCGAACTTCATCAACATAAATATTGCTGAATTTAATAGAATATTATCAGATTGATCATTGTTCAATAGCTGTTGAAGAGTTTTTTTGCCAATAGTTTTTGCTCTCTGATTTGAAAGTTGTGCACAAGCATTAAATAAAGCAGTGATTGCAAAAGGACCAGGTTGAGTTGTCATTTCATTAAATAAATCCAACACTTTTTCCGGCATTTTATTAGTAATTAGACCTGCTTACTAATAATTATATTATCATTAGAAGATGAAAATTAAAATACTAACCTTGAAACATAGCTGAATATAATGCATCTGATTTGTTAGTAGCTTTCAAAAATAAGTTATAAGCATGATCAATTTTATGACATTGCACTAAAAAGAAATCAAATGATTAATAAATATTTCAATTAGGTGAATAGGATTAAATGTTTCATATCTTCAAACAAGTACGTTGTTTTTTTTATTAATTGATTCGTCAGCAAGGAAGACCAATTAAACTGGGAAGAATTAATAGATGTATGATTTATTTTCAAAGTTTCATTTGAGTGGAATTGACATATTTGTTTCAAGACAATTGAAAGTATTAGTTTTAGCATGAGGTTTCTTCCTTCTCTCACCTTCTCATTAGACCTTAATAAATTCAATATCGACTTAAGCATTTGAATGATCACGAACAGTTAGAAAGAGATTTCATTTAAAGAGTTCCTATGCCATGTAAATAACACACTCATCAGTCATAGTAGTAGCAAATGTTACATTGTATGTAATTCCTTTTTGTAAAAAGTTTTCGATTAAATAGACTTCTTTTTTTCATGCGTAAAAAATATTGTTTATACAATAGAACAATATCGATTGATTTCGATATCGATGTATTGATAATTTTCATAGACAAATGAATGACATACTATATAAATGAATTGATGATGTTTGAATATATGGATCATTACGTGATGTTGGTGAAAGTTCTTCTAGAATCTTAAATCCTGTTTGATAATCACGTAGTTTAGTACAAGCTTTAATTGCCATGTTTTTTGTAAAATCAGTTGATTCATTAGATTGTTTGTTGAAAAGATTTAAAGCTTTTTTATATTGTTTTGAGTCAATAAGAATCTTCATTGTTGAATTTAATTTATTCGATGATAATGATATTGAATGCATTTTAATTCTTTCCACATAGGAAATTAGAAAAGATTCATATCGATATAACAAATAGAAATTCTTGATCAAAAACATATTTTATCTGAAAAACGAAAAATCTAAATTTTATGCATATTTATCAAAAAGAATAATCATCCATGAAGTATTTATTTGACATTAATCATTGAGAACGAAATGTTTTGAGTTCATATTAATTTTTGCATTTGAATACTGTTTGACATTATGAGTATGGCTGTCTAAGGAGAATAGCTATATCTATAGTTGTTTTCCATGAATCGAAGTCATTAATAAGATTTTTTTTCTCAAACTATTAATAGTTCATTAACAAATAATATTAATTTCAAATTCATCTAAACCTTTTAAACAAAAGCTTTTTTAATTAAAATATATCTAAATCTTGCTAAACTATAAACAAAATATTCGTGTTTCATGCTAATTCAATTTTCTAATGGTGCATATTAAATTATTGTTGAACCTTTTTCCATACAAATTCTTTGATTATTATTGAATTCTTTTAATTTTTCGTCAATTGTACCTGAACATAAAATAATATCAATTGAATACTATTTTTATTTAATTTATTGTTATATACAATATTAACATAATCTTCTAAAATATTTCCATAAAGTAATATTATACGTCCATATACATGAAAAAATTTATTTGTTTGAAATTATGGTACTAGGAATAAATAAACATTTTTTTCTTTAGAATATTTAACACGTATGATATGATTAAAATTGTTTAATTCCTTTATTAATTCTTCATTTGATTTGTCTACATTTAATAATATGAAATATATATAAACTTGATAAAGACTATGGATGCCTACACACTGGAAAAATAACACAGTATTATTTTTATTTTAATTCAGCAAATATATACATTGCACTATTAATACTGGCGAAGCTAGGATTTTGGATTAGGGGGGGGGGGGGGGGGGGCATAGCCCCATCTGAGGGATCTTCGAGCCCCTCCTGGCTCCGCTACTAACTGCTAACTTCCCAATCAGAGGATAGGGGCCGCGGCTATATAGCAAAACTTCTTACTACCGTTTAAGGACATATTCTTTTAGACTTATGAAAGTACCAGCCGGTGAGTTTTTCTTGTTAGATTAATCTGTTTTTTTTTGTTTTTGCCTTAGGTGTTATTAGTCAAAAATTTATAAGTTCGAAACATTTCACATGAAAAAAATCAATTAGTTTATTTTCAGTTTTGTCCTGATGTCGAACAGAATGGAAAGCATTTTTTTTATGACTATTATTCTTCATAGCTTAAATATATTGATAAATATATTTTTCCTTCAATTCATAATATTTATTTCGAATAAAAATTAAATAAATTTATTTACCTTAATGTTTAAAAGAATATTTTTGTATTTTGCATCATAAGAAAAACAAAATAAAAATTCATCTAAAATAACAAAAAAAAAAAGAAATGACCATAAAGTTTTTGTTTATTATTATAATCAATTTATATCAATATAACACAAAAAAAAACAAATAGAAAATCTTCTTATATATTAGCTTGTTTCATTGGTTATATTTGTTGTTATTATATTATTATTTAAACAATAGAAAATAAAATAAGCAGCTGATATTTTAGACCGTGTATCTATCATTTCATGATCATGATAATATTCAACACTATTCCAACGTAATATTTGAAATTCTGTTTCAAGTCTTAATAATGTTGAAATATTTTCTATTGTACGATATTGTTTTAATAAACAAATAGTTAATAATATAGATTTTAATTGTTCAACAATAAATAAAATAATATTTATTAATGATTGATCAAAATTTAAGTATGAAATTATTCTTTAATATATAATAAAATAGGATCTCAATGTTTAATTTGTAATTGTTGAAATTCTTCTGGTTGATCTGAACGATAAAGTAATGTATCCCAATCAAGAAAATACATTAATTTTTCTATAAGTTGATTTTTAGTTAATATTAATGTATTCATCAAAGAATATAAATGCATTGATGATAAATCAATTTTTTTTATATTGTTGATTTCATTTTTGTGCAATTGCTAATGCAAGTAATTCATTTTCAACTTTCTATTATATTACCTAATGGTGTTTTTAATTTATTGTTGATCAAGTAATATTTCATATATTGTTGGTATTTGTGATGATTCAACAACAGATACTTTTTTATAAAAACGTTTTCGATCACGATTTGTTAAACTAAAATTTGTTGATGTTAAACGATAACATAAACGAATCATAGATGAATTTCAAACGAAGAAATAAAAAAAAACGATTCATTTGAAATGATTTTTGGTTCATATTAAATAGAAGATGAAAAAATATCTTTTGGAACTTTGTTTTTTTTTTTACTCTGAAAAAAACAAAATGATTACTAATACGTTGATTGTTCATAGTAAAGTTCTAACACATTAAAAATGATCTTGACAAGAGCATTTTCCATTTGGATAAAAATGATGGATACGATTAGCATCACGAACAATTATATGACATTGGTGTATTTTTGCAATTAATTTTGTGACCTGATCTGAAAAGAGAATTAATACAGTGATTATTGAAAAGTAACGATGTGAGCAAAATAAACTTACGACAATCACCACATATACGAAGATTTTTTGTAATTTGAATGGTTGATGGTATAGGTCGTTGAATTAAATTAAAAGCAATGGCTAATTTTTCACTATGACCACATAAAACCGATTGAATACTTTCATATGTATCAAGTTTACGAGTTATCCAACTTGAATCAAACGTATGACCATGCTTAAGTAATAATAATGCTAAACGATCAAGTTCAGCATAGATCTCTGATGATCGTGGATGAGACATATCATGAGCTTTAAATTCCTGAATGAATAAAAATTGGTTTTCATTTTATTTTTTATATTATTTTAATATTTTAAGATAATATATTTTACCACTAATTCACCATTGGCCATTGTCCATGTTACTCCGACTTTGATGTTTATTCCTAATTCATTTTTTTGTTTAGATCGAATATCCATTGCCAGTTCATATTCACCGAATGAAGAATATATATTTGAGAGAAGAATTGCACCGGATAGAAGAGATTGTTTTTCACCAGGAAAGACAGATTTCATACGATCATATATCTTTTCAGCTAATTGACGATTACGATGGTTACGTGCACCGGATAGCATAGCCACTGAAATACATAACAAACGAAATAATTCTTCAAAATAAAGCGGGTCTACCGAATAACTTTGAACAGTACTTAGATTACAAATATCTCAACAAAAATAAATCATAACATCTTGAAGTTTCATCTGAATGATGTATCATTAAATTTCGTATAAACTTCTATGAAACTTAATATAAACATCAAAAAATCAATATTTTTATAAAACACGAAATTGAATGTTATCAAATGAACGTATTCTATATATGGACGATATTTGTCGGATTTTTTTTTTCAAAACAACTTACCAACAGAGAAAATATCGCCTTTCTCAAAAAATTGAACTTTCAAAAAAAAATGCTATTAAACAAATAAATAAACAAGCGTATCTATAGAAAAGTTCGAATAAATATCCACAATTAACAGATATTTAGAAGAGCTATTCAAAGTCGAATTCTGTTTTCAATATCATATATTCATTCATATGGGAAAAAAAAA